TAAAATGATTAAGTATTGGGGACTTATGTTTAAGCTGTTCCAATTCAATATGCCAATAATACCATTAGGCCGTAATTTTGACAAATTCATACTGTAAGGCAAAGACATGCTCATAGATATTGGTTACAATGTCTTGTCCATCTTATTGTCACTACAGACCTCGCCAAACACTGACAAGTCAGTACAGAGTACAGATGTAGGCCCAGTAACACCGACATGTTGTGCTGGTGCGAGTGGATCAGACACAGCAGTGCTGCTGGAGTTTTTAAACACTGTGTCCACTCACTGTCCACTCTATTAGACAGTCCTACCTCGTCAGTCCACCCCGTAGATGTACAGTCAGAGACGATAGCTCATCTGCTGCTGCACAGTTTGTGTTGGTCATCCTCTAGTCCTTCATCAGTGGTCACAGGATGCTGCCCACAGGATGTCGTTGGCTAGATATTTTTGTTTGGTGGACTATTCTCAGTCCAGCAGTGACACTGAGGTGTTTAAAAACTCCAGCAGCACTGCTGTGTCCGATCCACTCAGACCAGCGCAACACACACTAACACAGCACCACCATGTCAGTGTTACTGCAGTGCTGAGAATGATCCACCACCCAAATAGTACCTGCTCTGTGAGGGTCCATGGGGGTCCTGACCACTGAAGAACAGGGTAAAAGGGGGCTAACAAAGTATCAGAGAAACAGATGGACTACAGTCTGTAACTGTAGAACTACAAAGTGCACCTATATAGTAAGTGGAGCTGATAAAATGGACAATGAGCCTAGAAACAAGGAGGTGGTCATGATGTCATGCCTAATCGGTGTATTGGTGCTTTTTCAGCATGATTTTCATATAGATAAACTGCAGGACCTCAATATCAGCCAATGTTATCAGCCAAACAATATCAGCTGGACTCTAATTATGACTTTCATAAAAGATCTAGCTTTAGGGATTTGGAGAGAGAGTGTAATATGCAAGACCTGCATTGCAAATAGGGCCACAGATGAATTAGAGACACAACACTGTACGCCTGCCCAGGTACCCAAGTGCAATATGGTGAGTGATGCACTGTAAACACAGAAGGCCGTGAGACGATCACGGTACAGGTGATCCCTCTAGTCTGTAACGTTGGCCATGACATGTTCATCTCACAAGCACAGCCTCATCCAACAACTAGTCTTGCAGACAGCAGCCTGACAGCCTCACTCAATCTCTACCCCACTTCTTTATACGCAAGTGCTACACTAAGACACGGCTGAAGATTGAGAGGGATTCCAGGGTAACCCATAATTCATGTCGGACAGGCAATGAGATTCACTTACCGCATTAACTCAGGCTGGATAATACTGACGAAATTCAATAACATGATGTTTTCAAAATATCACGGCGTCAAGGAAACAAATAATACTTAGGTTGGTATTATGAAAGTTAACACTAACCTACTACTTATTTAACCTGTATGGAGTTTAAACTGTTCCTTTAAAACAATATGAAGCACTTGGCGAATGGCATACATCACAGTTGCCAGTCAAGTCCATGAAATAGAATTGCAACATCACTATTTAATGGACACTGTATCACAAATATAGGGAGGGTGTTCTTTGGCGAGATGCGAAGCGGAGTAAAACCCCCTTCCTCGTGATAAAATCGCAGTAACTCACGGCCTCAAGTGGCTTTTTGCTTTTATAAAACGGTGACCAACATAAAATATTACAATACACAATGTTTTAGATAATTATTAAAGTTATTATTAATAATAATCGACATAAACAAGTATTCCGCCAAGAAATGTAGTTCCTTTAGAGTACGATATCGTTGCTATGCAACCACTGACCGTTTTTTTTTTGTTTTTTTTTTACTTTTTGTCGTATAACAGTGAACATATGATAACACAGCACTGTTTAATGCAAATATTTTCAGTTTTAAGTTCTTTCTGGTCACCAAATCACCACCGCGAGTCTCCTGCCAGTCTGACGACGCCACTTTTCTCACACTGGGGCTGAATCTCAAACGGCTCCCTGCTCCCTACATAGTGCACTACGAAGCCCAACAGAGCAAAATATCGCTAAAAATTGTCATTTGAGATTCATCCACATTCAGACTCGACAGGTAGTCACTGTTTGACAGCAGAAGCTAGAATTTCTAAGCTTAAGGTGACACAGCTCACTATTTATCTAGGAAGTACGGAGCCGTTTGGGATTCAGTTTTGGTTTGATGCCACTTCTGACTGAAACACGGACATTTAAAGCGTGTAACACATTCAGGTGACATTATTTAGACTTTTATACTGCCGTTTTTCAGTGAATCATATCGTGAGTGCTTTAATTCAAGCCTGTGATATTAATGATGGAGTTGTTTAGGCTGTTGGCTCTTTTAGCCTGTTAGCTAGCTGACCAGCCTGGTTCTAGATAAGAAAATAAGTTTTCAGCTTCTCAGTTTAAACAAAAATGGGTTCTTACTTCATCAGTACACTCGGTGCTCCGTATGATCAGCATTAGATTAAGATTAATCCATTATCAGCAGAAGGGTTTTTCATGCTGTGGCGCAGTGATACAGAGCTCAGTCGCTGTGAGGCGGTCAGAGCCGTGGTATATCGAACCTGGCTTCGAACCGGAACTCTCCGTTTTATAATGTTTATTATCTGTCATAGTGACATCACTACAACACTGCCAAAACTAAAATGTAATATTAGTACAGACGATATGCCGCCCTGCACCAGCATTCATTTCAAAAGCAATCTAGAGGCTGTAGGAAATGCTTTGCTTTGCACTGACTATAATGAAAGCACACACACACATATACCATAGATGTATGCGTGTTCTGGGACGAGAGGAGAGCGTTACGCCGTTTCCATTGTGCCGTTCTTTTTTCATTATTTGTAGAACACTGCCACAGCTTCCTACACATTCTAACAAAGTGACTGAGCATCCACTGAGAAAAAGGGCGTCTGCAAGCCCACGTCCTGTTTCTCGCAACGGTCAAAATGATTTGGATGCATCTAAAAGCACACACCACTGTACTGCACTGTATACAACAGTTAGTTCCGGCCACGTAAGCTGATTGGCCGAGAAGCGTTCTAACTGTGCTGTTATTTCACCATAACATCACATTTTTTCACAAACACTATCACTCCGCTTAGCAACGACTCTGACAGCTGTAGGAGACGCTCAAGACATTTGAACGTTTTTACTTCTTACTTTGCCACAAACAGAAAATGGACACTTTCAAGATCACATTTGACCGACAGCCGATTTGGTCAGACATGGCTGAACTACTGAAGTAGGTTAAAGATTTTTAAAATGTTATTATAGCACATTTTGATAAAATGTTTGACGTTTTCTTCATGCATTTTCTAATTTGTATTTTTCTTTATTTTATGAGTGTAAAATTTTTCATCAGTAAAGATTTTGAGAGCACAGTAAAAGGAACTAAACCTGTTTTTTTGACACAAAACCAAAGACAGGAATTATATAAGTCATATAATGAACAAGAAGTGAGGTAACTGCCCTGAGCAAGAACAGAAATAGAAGAAAACAAGCAGACAAGGAAAAAACTGAGTGTGAAACAAGCTTAACGTGTTGGTCCGTGTAAAGAGCTGGAGAACAAACTGCCGGCTGTGCAGCGAGTGGGCGGAGCTCGTTACTCTGACGTAGCAACAAGCTGCTCGTTAAGGAACTATAATTTGGTGAAGGAACTGCGAACATTAAAACATATTAAACGCCGCGTTCACGGCCCAGTTTATTAATTTATTACTTTACTTATTTAACTGTTGTATAAAAGCAATAGAACACTGGAGGTCATGTGTTATCACCAATAACGTCACTGTGATGATCTACGGCGACCAAATCACAGCCGTGACGTTATTTCGTGATAACACACTCCCTCTCGTGATCTACTGCTGAAGTACGTAACATATGAATGCACATCTAGTGGTGCAAAAAATAGTATTTTAGACATTCTATTCAGTATGGAGGTGTTTGGTTTTGGACGTAGCCCTTGTCTAGTGGCTTGAGCATCATTTCCCTGCAGGTACAGCCTACTTCCTCGCTGTAGTTATGGAGTTAAATCAGTGTCACCAGAACCTGAATTCCTGATTCTTTTTCAGGTTTCCAACTGTATGTCGCTTATTTTCCTTCTCTTTCTATAAGCTCAGATCAGATACTAGTATCTGTTGTTTTACTGGTTGAGAGAGATATAAGCTGATGCTTGATTTCTTATAATAAAGGGTGATTCAAAAAGATTCATCTGATTTCAAAGCGTGTATTTTTACAACCGTGAGGCGCCGAGGAACCAATCACAATCCAATTGAAAGAGGGGGTCATAGAGTTTCTGCCTGTCAGTGGAAGATGGCTCCCTTCAGTCTGAGAGGAGATGAGACCCCTGAGCAGAAAGCGTTCTGCGTTCTCCACTTCAATAAGAGTGAATCCGTCATAACTGTGCAGTGTGATTTTCGTGGGCAGTGAAGCTCCAACAGCTCAGAGCGTTCGGCGTTGGTTCCACAACACTGGATGATCTCCGAAATCGCACTGAAAGAGCCGTGAGTGCAGCGACACCCGACACGCTCAATCCAGTATGGGATGAGTTTGACTATGGTGTTGATGTTGTCTGTACAGCTGGAGGAGGTTCATACTGAGACCTTGTACAATTACATAATAAACTTTATGCTCATTTAAACCATTTACAGTTCACTGCATTGATCTGTAATGATTTACAAGTGAAATAGATCATTTTGAAATCAGAATCTTTTTGAATCACCCTGTATAATAAGTGATTCTACATCGTGAATTCAGGTTCAGCATCACAATCCAGGTTCAGGTGACACTGACTGAAGTCCATATGTGGTCCTTTTGTTTCCAGCCCAGATGTCTGTCTGTCTGCTCTCAGCTGGACCTTTCTGACTTGTGCACAAGCACGTGACCCGAGGAGGCCACTGATCAGAAGGCAAGGAGATAAATAAATCAACAAGTCAGATTCTGGAGCTCACGGGTCGCTGCTAACTCGAGGAAACTTTACCTGGTAGATGTGCCTTTGCGCACATCACATATGCTGCATTTGAAAGCCTCCGCGCTGTTTTTGAACGTGCAGACGCTACAGTCCCACAGTCCGTCGTCTGCAGAGGGCTTGCCTTGTCTTTTTGGCCTGTTGGAGAGGATTACAAGAGAATTTCCATCATGAGCCGTGGCAAAAAAAAGCAAGCAGACCCCACACCCGCACCTCCCCTCCTCATCAGTGTAACAGACGGACCGGTTCACCACATAGAAAAGTACCGTAACCTTAGCGTCAATTAAAGCACAACTTACGACGTCGAATCCTACAACTGTACCGACGCTAACTGCATTATAGTGTCTAGACATCCCGAATACGAGCACCGAACGAGCGCAAAGCACAAAGGAGAAGGAGAGACGAGGCGTATCCTGAAATTCCTTTGTCTAAAAGTGGGCAGCTACTGGGAATAAGGCAAGGCTGTGGGTCCGCCATGGCTGCGCTTTTATTTTTCCCTATTTTCACAAGAACGGGAGAAGCCGCGGAGCCTGAGAGCCGTCGACGAGGTTCGCCTTCCCGCTACACGGGTTCGGAAAAAGCCGTTGGAGTGAAGTACCTGGATGGGCTTTTCTTGTCGCCCATGCTGGGAAGCGGCACGGAGCTGCAGAGCGGGTTCACACTGCGGGGTCCACACACACACATACACACACATTCATACACGCATACGTGCATACACACACACACACGCTCACATACACACACTGCTGCAGAGCTGCTGCTGCCGCCCACCCACGCAGCGAGAGGTCACGTGAGCCAATCAGGGCCTGCCGCGCTGAGAAAAGAGCCAACGGTTTTCGAATCGGTGAGTCAGCGATGCAAAGTTCGATTCCGTTCACTGAACCGATTCTTTTGAACTGCCCTTTTCAAAGAATCCGACTCGGCGAGAATGAAGGATTCAGCCGGACGTCCTGCTTATTACCCACGTTTCTGATTAAAGGGCCCATTTCAGAGAGAGCCCTACGGAGCCCCGCTGGCGACATCGTGTATAAATAAAAATATTGCGTGGCCACGACTTAGTAACATGTGGGAACGAGATCCTAATGCGTGGCCACGACTCAGTAAGTTGTGATCTCGTTCCCACGCTTTACTAAGTCGTGGCCATGCATTAGGATCTCGTTCCCACGCTTTACTAAGGCGTGGCCACGCATTATTTTTAATTATACAGGATGTCACCAGCAGGGCTCCGTAAGAGCCCATGCTTCCTGACCTATTTTGAAACGTAAGCGTTTGATATAATATATAAATATTTTGTTTATGGAATAAACACCCCTATGACAGTATAAGCACAGTTTGCATTTGTTTCAGTGATTAAGAAAATAAAATTTTGTTCACCAACAGCAAAAATTAAACCTTCTATTATTGAAAACTTCAATTATGCAAAATTCAACAATTCAATAATCAGAAATTCTACTGTCTGGAATTCCCAAGGCTGGCTTTACGCAATGAAAGCTACATGCAACTGTAGTTGCTTGAAACTCACATTAAACTAAATTTCACTTGAGTTGGATAACGTATAAAACAGCCAACAGCTGCATCTCAGCTTTGTGGAACAAGTTTAATGAAACCAATCAAAATGCTGATTGTGACCATATCAAACAACCTTTCAAACATTTGATTTCTCCAGATCAACAGACAAGAACATTAAAACAGAAGATTGTTTATTTTGAAAAGGAGACTGTTAATCAATTGTGTTGCATGCAACTTTGTTTTTACATTACGTTTGTGTCACTGTCAAGTTGCATGCAACTAGTTGCGTGAGAGTTTCACCATGCAAAGCCAGCCTAAGGTCCCATTTTGACATGATTTTGTGCATTAATAAACTAACCAATTTATTATTTTTTAAGACAGCTATTTAATCATGACCATAATTTCGTCCAGTGTATTATTTAGTTGTTTGATTTTATGCACTGCACTCCATGGTTTGCATACTGTAGTTTGACTTCAGACGTTTAGACCTGAGGGTGACTTGTGAATACGGCTCTATTTGAAAAGTAAAGAAAAAAAAGAAAAGAATTTACTGAACACAAATCTATAAAAGACTGCATATGAAAGCAGCTAACAAGTCGTGAACTGATAGCATGTCACGGTGATTTGTTCTCTCCTATGTAGGCCTAACAGGAAAATCCCCAGGCTCAGTCTCAGCACAGGGAGAAGCACTTATCAAAGACACAATTCTCTCCAAGCGGACAAGGACAACCAGAGCTAATGTCTTATCTTGCGGCTCCCGAAGCCCATTGCTCGGGGCTTCTGTTAGGAGACTATCAGAGTCTAATGAACCAAGACAGCCCATGGGATCAGCCTGAGAGATGTACTCACCCAGAAGAAAACGGCAGAGACACAGTGTGGGGAATACTACAGTAGAAGTATGAAGATAAGGAGGCCTGCATAGAGTCATGTAATCTTCAGTGCCACAGTGTAAATATTAAAGAAATTGTCAATTAGGAAATCACAATGCATTTTTCTACCATACTGTGACGCACACCGATCAGGCATAACATTCTGACCACCTCCTTGTTTCTGCGCTCATTGTCCATTTTATCAGCTCCACTTACTATATAGGTGCACTTTGTAGTTCTACAGTTACAGACTGTAGTCCATCTGTTTCTCTGATACTTTGTTAGCCCCCTTTTACCCTGTTCTTCAGTGGTCAGGACCCCCATGGACCCTCACAGAGCAGGTACTATTTGGGTGGTGGGTCATTCTCAGCACGGCAGTAACACTGACGTGGTGGTGGTGTGTTAGTGTGTGTTGCGCAGAAAGTGTATCATACAGTGTGCAACATATGGGCATTGTTTGCACGCTGCATACGATGAATGCAGGCTGATTTGCATGCAAACAAATAATCAGCAAAACGCTTGGAGCTTCTCCAGGAGACCAGTAACTAACATAAGGCTCTACAACCAGTCTCCTTACTGCAGACACAGTACTGATCTCCTCCTGTCTGAACTGCGCAGAATCACAATACATCACTATATATAGACTGTTGTTAACACACACTGTGCAATATATCATAATCTGCTACTGTAATGACTCTCACTGCGCACTTTAGACTGTAAATACTGCAGCTACTCCTAGTTATGCTTATACTCGTTGTGTATTTTAACTACCACATAGCATTTTGTGAAATACCTGCTCAAACGTAAACACAACAAATCTGTCTTATTTGCTTGTGTAAATGTGCTAATAGATATGCGTCTATTCCTATTCTCTCATATTCTGCTTTAATTTATGTCTATTCAAATTTCTGCATAATAATTGTATGTTTATGTGCAATTATATGTCTTGCTACTGTAATGCTGCAATTGTCTTCAGGATCAATACAGTTCTGTCTATCTATCTATCTATCTGTCTGTCTATCTATCTATGTATCTATCTAGTCAACTACTTTGGAACACGGTATTTAAATATAGTTAATGCATTTCACTGAAACACTTCATTTGATATGACTGTAGATCTGAATACTTGCATTTTTTGCACACTTTACTTCACTTTAACAATGTTGGCTGCCAGAATTACTGTATCAACCAAATACTGTATACTGTATATTGCTGTTCTGGTTGCTACCTCAGTGACCGCTATGCTCATATATACTAGTCTATCTGCTAATCTGCTAATATATCATAGTGTGTTCCATCCTCTCAGGAAATTTCAAATGCACTTCTTCAAAACTTGCATTTCTGAATGTTATTACTTACATTTCTGTATTCTAATGTTTCCAGGAGAGCTTTAGTGCCCAGAGTGCCACATTAAGCTTCACTATATAAAAGAACAACTACTTTATAAGTAATTTATAAGTAATAGGCCATTTCATATCATGAAAAAAAGCAGTTCTATGATTTGTACAGACAGATATTTAAATTCCTTAACCAAAAAACTAATGATTAACCTTCATTATCAATTATATATCTAGAGTTGTTTGCCATGATGTGTATATAAAAGCCAGTTACAGGCAACCCTGACTGTTATACGCCTTAAGTTGGTTTACACAATCAACACCATCAAATATGTTGTGTAACTCACTCATATATATATATTAAGTTGTGGCCACGACTTATTAAAGCGTGGAAACAAGTTTCTCTTTACTAATTCAAGGCCACGACTTAATCATCTCATTCCCACGCCTCACAAAGTCGTGGCCATGCATTAGGATCTCATTCCCACACTTTACTACGTCGTGGCCACGCTTTAGGATCTCGTTCCCACGTGTTAAAAAGGCATGGCCACGCATTAGGATCTCGTTCCCACGCTTTACTAAGTTGTGGCTAGAGGTGGGTAATCCAGGTCTAAAAATGAAAAACCCTCCCCAGGATTTTGTTCCAACTGCCTGAGCACCTTTGCTGCTAGTTTGAGCAAATTAGCATGGAGCCCTGATGATGACATCCTGTATGAATAAAAATAATGCGTGGCCACTTACTATGGCGTGGGAATGAGATGAATAAGTCATGGCCACGACTTAGTAAAGAGTGGGAATGAGATCCTAATGAGTGGCCACGACGTAGTAAGCTGTGATCTCGTTCCCACGCCTTACTAAGTCATGGCCACGACTTAATCATCTCATTCCCACGCCTTACTAAGTCATGGCCACGACTTAATCATCTCATTCCCACGCCTTACTAAGTCATGGCCACGCATTATTTTTATTTGTGCAGGATGTCATCATCGGGGCTCCGTAAATTAGAGATTCAAGCAGTTGGAACAAAATCCCAGGGAGGGTTTTTACTTTTTGGACCTGGATTACCCACCTCTAGTCGCGGCCACGACTTAATCATCTCATTCCCACGCCTTACTAAGTTGGGGCCACACATTATTTTTATTTATACAGGATGTCACCAGCGGGGCTCCGTACTTACGTGCTTATTTAGGTGAATTTTAATGCAGTAAATCACTGTTTTCTATACTCCGTTTTAAGCAGGATTATATCCTCACATCCGAAGTATAATTTAACACAAAAAATAAGTTGCTACAGTTTAGATAAGCAGTATCTTACGGAGCCCCTAAGGGGCCGTGGTTAAAAAAAAAGAGTTAATGACATTGCATTCCCTCGCAAATGTTTTGCATTACGATGCAACGGTTTGCATTCACTTGCAAAAGCTGTGCTTTGCTTAAGCTCAGACACGAAGCAGCTCATTGAATTTTATGTTGATCTTGGATTTAAATATAAAGACATGGTGTCGCTTCTCTAAATCAAACATGATTCTGCTGTTAGTGACTCAAACTGAGACTGAGATTGAGTTTCCTCGGACAGTAAAAGCTACATTTACAGAGGCTGCAGAGAACAATAGCTGAATAAACTCCGCACAGACTGGCCAAACTGGGAAAACGTTAAATATGCTAAAAACAAAGCTCTAATGTAGGCAGTGTCGTTGGGCACCTCTGGTCCTACTCTTGCTTGCTGTCTGACACGCATATATTGTGCGAGGAAACGTAAAACCCACGGAGCCCCGCTGGTGACATCCTATATAAATAATGCATGGCCACGCCTTATTAACGCGTGGGAATGAGATGATTAAGTCGTGGCCATGACTTAGTACGGCGTGGGAACGAGATCACGGCTTATCAAATCGTGGCCACGCATTAGGATCTCGTTCCCACGCGTTACTAAAAATAAATATTCTTATTTATACAGGATGGATGTCACCAGCAGGGCTCCAAAACACAGCGCCCTGATGATGACATCCTGTATAAA